TAGAAGTCGCAGCAGCTCTTAGGGTGTGGTGGACAGAGGAGCTATCTCCAGACGCTCCAGGGTCTGGAATGTGCATTCTGAAATAAAGGGGGCTTTTCCTGGATTTGAAAGGCAACTTTCCTCACTCACAAGTACTCAGCCATCCCCTGGGGTACCTCCTGGGAGGTGGAATTGCTGGGGATACCCCAAGACCTCCTTCCCCTGCCCCGTGCTTGGGCGGCCACAAGGTGGCGCTCCGACCTTGCCAGTGGGTTTGCACTGGTGCCTGACCTGGGAACCCTGCAGAGGGGGCACACCAGCCTGCTGCCACCTTTGGTCCCTGGCTTCTACTGCTCCATCCAGAGAAGGCGCATCTATGTGAATGGGGTGCCCTGTCTCAAGCTGCCTGAATCCACGGTTGAAGCTTTCCTGGTAGAACGGAAAAGGAAAACGAGTTGGACCAATTGTGTGTGTGTGTGTGTGTGTGTGTGTGTGTGTGTGTGTGTGTGTGTGAACTTTTAAAATATAGAAAATAACAGACCAGGTGTGGTGGCACCCAACTGTAATCCCAGACACTAGGGAGGCTGAGGCAGGAGGATCACAAGTTCAAGCCAGCCTCTCAACATAGCTTGACCCTGGCTCCAAGTAAAATATTAAATGAAAAGGGCTGGATTAAGCACCCCTGGGTTCAATCCCCTGTACCACCACCACCCCCAGATTATTAAATAAGTAATGCATACACATATATTCATAGGTATACAGTGACCAAGATGAAGGTGAGCATGGAGATTAGCACAGTGTGCAAAGTACACAAAGGCCCAAGAGAAGAAATGGTGAGCATCAGCATCTCAGGACCCCAGGGCGTCCATGCTTCCTCCAGTCACTGTCCCCTCCTTTCCCCACTGTCACCAGGACCTGACTGTCATGGTACTTGAACATCCCTCTTCTCTGTGGTTTGACTCTGTAGTTACAAACCCCAAATGCATATTTTAATTTTATGATTTAAATTTTATAGATCGACTCATTTGGTTTCTGCTCTATTTTCTATTTACACCTAAGAATCACTCACATAGATGTAGTTTTTTATAAAAGTCATTTCTGATCAGTAATTTGCTGTAGGAATACACCACAATTTACTTATTCTATCACTGATGAGCTGCTTACAGTTTGGAGTTACTATAAACAGTGGTGTAATAAACATTTGGGAACGTTATGCTGTTCAACATGAACGTGTACATATAATTGAGAATATTTACTCACGTGGAATTGCTGGTCGTAGGAGAGTTAAAAAAAACTCTTAATAGAAACATCAAGTATACGCAAAAGTAGAGAAATAGTATGATAATTTACCAACCTTTATAACTGTTTGTCAATCTTATTTCACTTATTTTCCCTTTCCTTTCTTCTAATCTGTAATGTTTTGAAGTAAATTTTATATATTCTAACACGAGTTACTTCAGTCTGTATCTCTAGCAGAGAAGGACTTTAAAAACAAGAGCCACAAGGCCACTGTCACAGCCAAGCCCATCGGGCTTCCAGATACACAGACACCAATAAAGTCTTCCTGAGATGTCGCCCTGGGCTTTAGAATGCTGGAAAGAGAGACGGGTCAATCCACACAACCACATAGTGTCTTTTCATTACTCCACAGAGTCACCACATCCATGCAAAGGGGTATGTGTGGGAGAAAAATATTCACAAAAAAAATACCAGGTAAAGGACTCTTACCTGAAATATTCAAAGAACTTTTAAATCTCAACATTAAGAACATAGACAGCTGGGCACAGTAGCAGACACTTGTAATCCCAGAAGCTGAGACAGGAGGATTGCTAGTTCAAAGCCAGCCTCAGCAACTTAGCAAGAACCTAAGCAACTCAGTGAGACTCTGTCTCTAAATAAAACATAAAACAGGCCAAGGATGTGGCTCAGGGTAGAGCACCCCTGGGTTCAACCCCTGGTATCTTAAAAAAAAAAAAACAGAGATACAGCCCATTTCAACAACGGAACAGAGGGCTTAGCTTGCACCTGAACAAAGAAGATACGGGGGAGACTCAAACCAGAACAGATAGGGTGTGCTCCCATCAGAAGGGGCCCTCTCCCAGCCCTGGCAACACCACTCGGTGCAGGATGCTGAAGCTCCTGGCGCAGTCTGTGGGAACGCGAAGCAGTACAGTCACACGGGGTGGGGGGGGGCAGCCTGGCGGTCTCCCCAGTATGACACACACACACACTCAGTGCACTGCCCCGTAGTTGTGCTGCTGGATATTCACCCTGAGGAGCCGAAAACTCATCCACACAAAAACCCACACGTGGGTGCTCCCAGCAGCATTGTTCATCATCCAAAGTGGGAAGCTACCAAGGTGACCTTAGCCGATGAAACCCTGGGCGAGCTGCGGTCCTCCAGACCCTGGGCGAGCTGGCTGCGGTCCACCAGACCCTGGGATGCTTTCAGTGCTAAGGAGAAAGGAGCTGTCACACTTTGAAAAGACACAGAGGAAGCTTAAATGCACAGGGCAAAGAAGCCCATCTCAGAAGGCCTACAGGCCCCATCCTGAGACAGTCAGGAAAAGATGAAGGTACGCAGCCCTGAAAAAGATCAGTGCTCACCAGGGATTAGGGACAGAGGGGGACAGAGTGGGAGAGCACAGAGGACTTTCGGGCTGCTCTGCATGGGCCTATAATGGTGGTACATGTCATTGCTCATCTTTGCAAACCCACAGAATGGGCACCCTGATGAGATGTGGCTCCAGGCGACAATAACGCATCAACGCAGGCTCACTCCCTGCAGCACATGTACCCCTCTGGCAGGGGCTGTGGCTACTGGGACGAGCTGCCAGAGAGCAGGAAGCACCTGAAAAAATTCTGTATCTTCTGCCAAATACGCTGTGAATCTAGAACTGCTCTAAAAGACTAGAGTCTACTTAGGAAAAAAAGACCGTGGCTGCCCCTTGTGTGCTGCATGACACAGATCATGCATCTCATGGCTTGGAATTCACTCTCACTGGACAGAGGGTGGCTGGGACACATTACTGCAGCCCAGTGATTGACACCTGCTTTTGTTAGAGAAGAAGAGGGTGAATGCTGGGTGGGCAGGGGAATCCCTGCCACAGATCATCCATTGGCTACTCCATACTACACTCTTCTCCCCAAACACAGGAAGTCTCGACCCTTCCAAGACAGATATCCCCAAATGTTTTTTTGTTTGTTTGTTTGTTTGTTGTGGTTCTGGGGATCAAATTTCAAAGTTTTATCCTGGAGTTTCTGACTGAATCAGGTCTGAGAGTGTGTCTTTCTGATAGTGACCCCAAAACCTAAAGAGTCCTCAACTTCAGGGCTGGAGTTGTGGCTCAGCGGTAGAGCACTCACCTAGCACTCGGGAGGCACTGGGTTCGACCCTCAGCACCACATCAAAATAAAATAAAGGTATTGTGTTCACCTACAAGTAAAATATATATATATATATACTTAAAAAAAAAAAAAGAGTCCTCAAGTTCCAAAGACACCCAGTGTGTGGATAGGATGGTGGTGTGGGTACTGCGCGTCCATTGAGAACTCCAGTGAAGGAAAGACAAACAGACAGGCTGTGACTGGCACAGCTACACTGCAGTCGACCAAGCCCAGGGAGTGAAAATCCTCTGCCCTGGAATGAAGGGGATTTCCAAGGAGCCCACGTGGAAGCCCAGGTCCTCCCACCTGCAGGAGGCAGGAGCCATTCTTCACGGCCCTTGTTTCTTTTCCTCTGTGGTCACATCTTAGCTGGGCATTAAAGATTTTGCGTGTCTTGGGAACTTGAAAGACTAGACAGGAGTCAAGGAACCAATGAAAGGGGCCAGCTGCTCTGTCCAGGAAACGTGAGGAGCTTCAGGGGTGACAGAGGACAGGGAGAAGACGTGGGTGCGGTACAGCGGTGGAGTGCAGGACTCCTCAGGACCCCGCCGCCTGACTTTCATTTTGAGCCGTTTCTTTTAGTGCTGCCTGGGGAGAGTGTATGACACAACGAAGTCCCTTTGGAGCAGTTATGTGAACAGCACGTGTCACGGGTGGACTTATTTAAAGGCAGAGCCATCCTGTGACAGTGAGCCAGAGTGGTTTACTTAAGCAGACACTCAAAATGGGAAGCGCTCCTGAAAATGCAGAGCCAGATGGGCATTTATCAGTGTCCTCTGCACGAGGACAGAGGTTCACCAGACCTGGTCTCACTCAGGTGGTAAGGGCTGGAGAGTGTTTGATTAAATTAATTAATTACTCAAATTTTTGTGGTAATGAGGATGGGACCCAAAAGTGCTATACCACTGAGTTACGTCTTTGCCTTTTTATTTTTCATTTTGGAATAGGGTCTGGATCCTCCAGCCTCAGCCTCCGGAGTAGATGAGACTGAAGGTGTGCATCACTGTGCCCAGCTGGAGATTTTATAAATTAGAGATTAAGGGTTCTCACTTGACACCTAAGTGAAAGTGCTGCTTATTAATCCATTAGTTCAATAAATATTGATCCATTCAATCAACATGACAGTTGTTATTTTATACATAGGGGATGAGGATCCATCAGTGAGAGACCGACCAAAATCTCTGCCTTTGGGTATATTTTGCATTCTCATTGTTTGAGAGAAACCTTGTCCAGTTCTGTATACAATTATGCTTTTTCATGCTATTTGACAGTTTTGATAAAACAACTACATCCCTTGAAAATTACAGTTTACCAAAACTGAAAGACAAGGGAGGGCAAATTGAATCGTTACTATTAAAGAAATTGAACCTGTTACTAAAAATCGTCCCAGGAAGAAAAGCCAAGGCTTACTGGATTCACTAGTGAGTTTTTCTAAACATTTAAGAATGTAACACCAGAAAATAGAAGCATAGGAATTATTTCCCTCCCCCTTTTAGGAGACCGTTGTAAGTTTGATGTAAATGTGGCCAGAACATCAGAGGAAAGTGAAGTAACAGAGGTGACAGAGCCACCCTCGCATACACAGAGCCCACACCAATGCAGTGGGACAGACTATAAGTACACAAAGCCAACCATGATGGAGCATGCTTTATTCCAGGAGGACAAGGGAGGGGAACATAATCAATCTAATTTATGATCAGGTAAAAGGATAAAAAATATAATCTTAATATATGTAGAAAATACATTTCCTAAAATCCAACGACCACTTATGATTTTTTTTTTAAATAAAGGGAAATTTCTAGCAAACTAGGCACAGGAGGAAACTTATATAGTCTCATATTTTAAAAACAGGAACAAAAAGCCTGCAGCAAACATTTTACTTAATGATGAAGTAGCACAGTTTTACTTGTAGTATCTACTCTGATCTAAGCCTTATAAATTCATTACTCTTCTCCCTTAGACTCTTTCTCCACCTCTTCTTAGCCCAGGGTACAGGCGCAGGTCAAGTACCAAAAATGTCACCCAGAGTACCAAAACCCCATTGTCTGTTTCTTTCCCCAAATCAGGGGACACAGAAGGACTTTTTCAGGGTAAGTGAGAACATGGCTGGAGGGAAGAGGAATCTGGAGCTGGGACCAGGGTGGGCTACCCCAGACCCCTCCTCACTTTGCCTGTAACTCAACCTCTGCAGGGAGCGAGGAAGAGTTGGTGGCTGTGTCACTGGACTGGGCCGAGTCCTCGCTCAGGGCCCTCTCCAGACTGGCCGGCAGGGACTGGATCAGCCTGTCCCGGAAGTCCTGGCCCACGAAGACGTAGAGCATCGGGTTGAGGCAGCTGTTGAAGAAGGCCAGCGAGCTGGTCGGGTTGACCAGGACCTCGAGGATTTTGTACTTACCGTGGAACAACATCTCCTGGAGCCAGACCGTGCTGAGGAGGGCCACCAACTGGAAGGGGAACCAGCAGATGAAGAAGGAGGCCACCACGGCAGTGAGGACCCGCAGGGGGCGGCTGGAACGGATCAGGCCCTTCCTGCGGATCTTGGCAGCAATGAGCCCGTAGCAGACGGCGACAATGGACATGGGCATGCTGAAGCCTATGATGAACCGGATGATCCCTCGCATGGTCAGCATGGTGATGGCCACATTCAGCCTCTCTTCAAGGGTGGCACCCCAGGACCTAAAGTTGAAGGTGCAGTACACGTTCCCTGTGGGATCGCTGACTGTAGTCAAGAAGATGAAAACCGGCAACGTAAGAACGAGGGCCAGAATCCAGGGTGCGACGATCACCTTCTTGGCCAGACTCACGGTGCGGTGGTTCTGGGCCCAGACCGGGTGCAGGACACAGATGCAGCGGTCCAGAGCGATGAGGGCGATCAGGAAGACGCTCCCAAACAGGTTAATGTCCACCACAATGTGAACCAACTTGCAGAGGAACCAGCCGAAAGGCCATTTTTCCCTCATGGCCATGGAGACGATGAGGAACGGCAGGGTGGCCGTGAAGGAGAAGTCAGCCAAGGCCAGGTTCAGGTAGCAGATGGTGGTGACCGTGTGCGTCATGCGGAAACCAGCCACCCAGATGACCAGCCCGTTGCCCAGCACACCGAGGACAAAGGTGACGGCGAGTACCACCAGCGGGATTATCTCCAGAACCGTGTAGCCAGGGGACTCATAGGACAACTCTTCAGATCCATTCTGAGGAACGGAGAAGTTGGCATCCATCTTGCCCACACCTGAAACACGTCAACAGTGGCCGTTTCTCAGGTGTGCGTCCATCTCTCAGCACCCCTGTTCAGAGCCCGCCTCACCCACCTCTGTGGCGCCTACTCCAGAGAGGGACCCGTTCTACCAAGCCTCGTGGCCAGCACTACCACGAGATACTGGCACTCTCCTGCATGTTCTTTTGGGAAAGGATGGTTCTTCCTATTCCCACAATCGTTAGTCCACATCCTGCCTCCCAGGCAGATTACTTTACCAAGAAGACTGCAAGCCCTGTGCACCAGCAGAAAAACTAAACCGAGAGGGCACAGGCCACCCAACTGCTGGAGCAGGCGCAGAGCACAGCGAGGAAAGCAGTCAGGAGGTGGCAACCTGCTTCCACCCACGACTCAGTGCAAAAATGCTAGCGTTTCAGTGCCCAGTTCATGCAGTCCCCAGGTCCCTTGACAGCCCTTGACTGATGGTGCAGCCACCATTTCAGTTAATTTCATGGTTTCAGCTACTGTTTCAGCAGTGGAGAGCAAAGGGCCTGTGGATTCTGTGCTCTCCCCAGTAGAAGCCTGAAGGGCGACTTGGCGCTGTGTGGTCATGGGTTACAGCCTGTGAATTCTGTGCTGGAGGAAGATAGTGAGGAAGGCAGCTCTGAACCCACTGTCCCTGCCTGAGCTCAAGCGCTTCTCTGATTGAGATGCAGAGAATCTGCACGTGTTGTACAGCTTCAGGGGGATAAAGTGTAGGAGAGTAACATGTTCTGTTAGAGTTGGAGGGTTCTCATGAGAAACCATGCACGGTGTTCATTTCTAGACAGGGGATCCAGTTTCGTCTATGGAAGAGCTCTACGATGCTCATTATTTTTAGCTTTTGCAAGAATAAGTTGGTATTCAGAGCTATTATGCAACCTGCTGAAGGTCTCTTAAATAGGAGAGGAAGGATTTAAGTCCTGTGTGGTCTGCAAATAGAGTGTTGCTCATGATAACCTTGTAAGGTCACCACGCCATCCTTCCACCTGGGCAGAAACCACAGCTCTGGGAGGTCAGCAGGGGTCCAACCAGCTGGTGGAGGTGGCAAAATTTGAAAACTAGGTTCTGTCAATTCCAGAGAGAATACCTTTACCACTCTAATCACCCTTGAAAGACAGCCAGGTGTGATGGCACCTGGTGTCTGGCACTCTGTCCTTGGTCTCCTCCCTTCTCATTCCTTCTGTCCTGGTCTCTGCTCACCACAGGCACTGAGGTCCTCTATGGGGCATGTGTAGCCTCAGTAGGGTTGTAGGGTTTCTCAGCCTCGAACTTCCTGACATCTGGGTCTGGGCGATTCCTTGTGGAGGGGGACGTCACATGCATTGTGGGTTAGTTAGGAGCATCCACCAGACGTCAGGGCAAGTCCCCTCTAATGACAACCAAACTGCTGTAGATGTTATAAAATGTCTCCCAGGAGTCAGAACCACCCCGGTTGAAGGTCACTATTGTAAAGACTACCAGGCTCCAGAGGCAGATACAGCTGCCTTCCAATCCCATCTCGATGCCTCCCAACATGAGTTCTAGGTCAATGGATCTCTTTGAGCCTCAGTTCCCTCCTCTGAAGAAGAGGAGAGGCTTTTATGGTGAAGACTCAGATTCAGATGAGCACTAAATGAGAATAGGTGGAAATTTTCTGGGATCGGTGGAGCAAGTCTATTTTTTTTTTGTACCGTGGATTCTACTCAGGGGTGCTTAATCACTGAGCCAAATCCTCAGACCTTTTCAATTTTTATTTTGAGACAGGGTCTCACTGACTTGCTTAGGATCTCGCTAAATTGCTGAGGCTGGCTTTGAACTTGCCACCCTCCTGCCTCAGCCTTTCAAGCTGCTGGGATCACAGGTGAGCATCACCTGCCCTGCTGGAGGAAGTCTAGCAGGTGGGGACCCTGCCCTGGCAGGCTCTGTGCATCGGATCTAGGCTCAGCTATGCAGTGTAGAAGTTCCAGGTGAGGGGAGGAGAGTGCTCCACAGTAGGAGCTGCACCTGAACATCGCCCACCCTCAAGCAGCTTCCCCTCGACCCGCTCCCACCTTGGCGGCTCTTGGAGATCTCATGTGTTAACGTGTGTTAAGCACTGAATGTGCTCAGAGACCCTGCAAATGCTCTGTGTGGCTTATAATTAGTCTAATCACGGTGCACATGAGGCAGTTAAGACTTAGATTGGTTACCTTAGTGTTTTGAACCTCCAGGAAGAGAACTGGAGACAGAACTTGAGTTTGGCTGACTCATTCCTCCAGAACTTGCTCTGAACCCTCTCCCACCCCGAATTCCCTCAACAGACTCGGGTTTCCTCTTTCCACCTCCAGTCATCCCACTGGGCACTTAGAGGGTACGCAGCACTCAATGGGCTCTAAGTGCTCGATTCAGATGCCCATACCACAGGAAGGACAACGGTGGCCAGGTCCTCGAGGCAGAGCTGGGCCATCTTGGGTGCAGCCTGGCTGCAGGGGGGAGCAGGAACCTGCACCTGCAGAGGGTCCTGCGCTGGTGCTGGGGGCCCCGAGGGTGAGATGTGCCAATCCTCCTGATGACAACATCCTTGCTTTGGGACAGACACCACCATTGTGTAACAAAGGAAATGCAGCTCAGAGAGGGAAGTGACTTGCCCAATGTCCCCGTTATTAAGGGGCCACTGGATTTCAGGACCCTAGATTCCAGGTGGAAACGGCACTTCCTTGCTAACTCACTGGACTCCACAGCACCGTCACGTTGCCACCTTTCCTGTGACCCTCCAGTGCTTCCACTGTCCCTGGACCCACCTGACTGTGATCCCTGCCCTCAGCTCCAGGTGTCCCTGTGCTGGTCACCGCAGGCACAGGGGACTCATTCTCCACTGCTGGGGGTCCTCTCTCACCCTCCCAGCAGCTCCCTCCAGATTCCCCCACCCAAGATGCACCTCCCACCAGATCACCCTCGTGGCCATGTCCTCTCCTCTCCTAATGGACCTTCCTTGGCCTGGGATCCCTCCCGACTTCAGCCCTGGGCCTCCGAGGACTGTGGAAGGAGGCCACCTCAGGCTTGGGGGAGTCTCTGACTGGCCCGCCCTCTGCTCCTCACGGTTTCTGGCTCCACATTGACTTACGACCCCCTCTGGCCAAACCCCCTGGCTCCTTCCCAGGGACAATCCGAGTTAGAGTCCCTTAGGCCTCGGCTCCCTGAGAGCTCTCCTGATGCTTGAGGCGATGAAGTCACCTCCCAACGTTCTTGTCCTCTTGGTAGCTCAACTGGCCCCTTTCTTTCCAGCCCAACCTACAGCTTCATTTTCTTCTTCTTTTTTTACCAGACTCCACACTTGACTGTAAGTGGTCGCTGCACCTGGGCTAGAGCCTTTCACAGGTGAGACCCTCCCGTGTCCCCTGCAGGCATCGTGCTGAGGGCGTCTCACGATGTGGCCAGCTGAGCCACTTCCCCGGAGCTCTCCTCTGATACAAGGAACTGACTTCCTGACACCTCCCCAGGGAGTCCTGGCACCCCGCCTGACAGACATGGCCCACACCAGACTCCGAAGTGTCCCAACTGCTGCTCTCCCAGGGCTTTCTATTTGAGCTTCAGATTCACTGATTAAAACTCCAAATACAGAACTTATCTTTGACTTCTCTTTCCTTTGCCCTCAAATCTGGTCCAAACCTACTGATTCTGAATGTCGTGACCACACGGCAGAATCGTCCCCATCACCACTATGCTGGCCCATGGTCCTTTGTATCGTCACCAACCTTACAATGACTTGGTCCTGAACCTGCTGCCTACCTCCTCCCCACACCCAATCCATTTTCTAGACAGAAGCCAAATGACATATGTGTGTTTGTGTGTGTGTGTGTGTGTGTGTGTGTGTGTGTGTGATGCTGGGGATTGAACTCAGCTGCACAAGCACTCTACCACTGAGCTACATCCACAGTCCCTTTTTTATTTTGAGTCAGGCTCTCACTATAGGCTGGCCTCTAACTTTCCATCCTCCTGCCTCAGCCTCCCAAGAAGTGGGATTCCAGGTGTGCTCCATGGCACCTGGCCCAAATGATCTTTCAAAAGGACAAATAAGATCACAACATTGAAGCCAGGCGTGGTGGTATGAGTCTGTAGTCCTAGTCACTTAGGAGGCTGAGGCAGGAGAGGCACCAGGGCCCAGGAGTCCAGGCCAGACGGGGCCACCGGAGGGAGGCCCTGCCTCAAAACATAAAATTTTACAACTCATGACTTTACTGGGCTCAGAGCCTCCAGCCGTGTCCACTCAGATCTTACACACTGCGTTCCTGTCTCACGGAGCTCTTTGGAGACCTTGAATGTGCAAGCTCACTGCCCCCTCGGGGACTTGTGTGCTTTGTCCCCTGCAGCTCCTGGCATCCTACCTTGTGAGATGCCCTTGCCCGGCTCATCCTGCATATTCACTTAAATTTTACGTCATCTTAAATTTTACGTCCTCACCCACCAGGGCTGTAAGCCACCCCAACTCCAGGCACAGCCTGCCTCACCAGATGCTTTTCTAGTTCATTTATTCATTAATTTTTTTCCGTCCTAGAAGCCCCCTGCACTAGGTGGCCAGCTGCACAGGACGGTCCAGCTCGCTCAAGGCTGTGTCTGGAGTCACACTGCCCAATACAAACATGACAAATAGGAGCACAGGGCTACAGTTTTCCAGGAGCCAGGGGAAAAAACAAGTTTTAAAATTCAGGGGCAATGTTTTATTTAACCCAATATATCCAAAAGAATATCACTGGAACATGTCACAAAATAAAAAGTATTGAGCTGCGTGTGGGGGAGCATACCTGTAATCCCAGCTACTCGGGGGTTGAGGCAGGAGGATCCTGAGTTGGAGGACACCTTAGTGAGAGCCTGTCTCAAAAAGTAAAAAAGAATAAATAAATTAAACAGAATCAATTTTTTTAACATTCTGTCTTTGAATATCGCGAGCATGTTTTGCCCTCTGCACACTCCAGGAGAGAGCTTGGAGCCCTCTGCTGCAGGAGGGTCTGATACTGCTCTGCTCTTGGTTTAGGAGCTACCTGTCATGAACAGGCCTTCAGACAATGATTCTTAAATTGTTAAACCCCAACTTACTATGAGCTGGGGTCCTCTCCCTGCCGTCTGGCTTCCTGTGGAGTGACTCAGGCTCTCTCAGCTCTGGCAGGGACTTTATTAAGGTGGGAGGGGCACAGGGTGTCAGGGCCCATCATGTGACAGAAGCCCAGGGTGCTTCACCGCTTCCTGGAGGGACAGAGCTGTCCTCCACTGCCGGCTGCAGCAAAATAACCGGGGGGTGACGAACAACTTGTGTACATTGATACAGCAGGAGTGGGAGCCGTTTATTGCAGGACAGGAGCAGTATTTATACATTCCACACAGCTTATCTAATTAACATAAACTAGATACATCAGTCAACCAATCAGGAATCTCCACACTTAATGGCTCGCTTTTGTTACTTCTCAAACCACTCCCTCTGGCATTTTGCCAGGCACCATCCAGACTTGTTCACGAACTCTAACATTCCCCTGGCAAAGTGCCGGGTGTTATTTTGACTTGTTTACAGACTCTAACACTCCACGGGCTCTCCTAACATGTCTGCAGCTACCTCACCTCTAACCTGCCATCCCCAGATATCAGGCATCATGGAATCCAGCCTCTTGCAAGTCAGGAAAGTGACAAGGACCAAGGTGGGAAGGATGGGAGACAAGCCGTGGAAGACGGGGAGTCTGGGAAGCACAGCTCACTCCTCTGCTTACGCAACGCCTCGGGTGCCAGATGTTGGGGTTTTCCACTCTGAGTAATCCTCCAGTCCTCTGTGCACAGAGAGGGGTGTCCTGCAACTCCGTTCTGTGCCTACCCCTCCCAAATGCAAGGGCAGGGAGCAGCGCGCCACCTCTCCACGGGAGGAAGGTCAAAGAACTTTGTGTCACTTGTGAAACATTGCACTGTGGCACTGGGGGACACTGTCACCCAGGTGGGAGCCTGCAGGGGGAGCAGAGTACATTGGCTGCTGGGGTTGCCAGAAAAGCATAAGGGATGCAGTGGCTCAAGCTATAGAAAGGGCTTTCCCCCAGTGCTGGAGTCTACAGTCCCAGATCCAGGCGTCCACAGGGCTGGCTCCTCCCAGGGCCTCTCTGTGGCTTGTGGATGGCCCCCTCCCTGCAGCCTCCACCTGGCCTGTGCTCTGTGTACGTCTTCGTCCTAATGTCCTCCTCTAAGGAGGACATCTGGAAAAGAGGTTAGGCCCACCCTGATGGCCTCGTTTTAGCTCCTGAAAGGCCCCACCCCAAGTAGCCACGTTCTGAGCTGCTTCAGTGTGAGATCTGGGGAGGGGGCTCTGGACAATGGAGCTATGGGAAAGGGCACCCCAGACGTGCTGGAGAGGGGCTCATACAAACAGACGAGGAAGACCACTGCCTGCAGTTCAAGAGCAAGGTCCGAGCAGGGGACAGGGGCCGGGGCTGTTGGCCGTGGGGGGTGGAACGTGAAGCCTGGAGGGGTCCACACCGAGAGAATGCAAAATCGGAGACAAGAGGGTTCTTCTGATGACTAGGATGTTTGTGTTTGCCACACAGGAACTCATGTTGAGTGATTCGCATCAGTTATAGTAGCTGTTCAGTTAAAACAAAAGGCCTCTGTAAATAGTGCGACTCTCGACTCAGAGGTGAAGAGACAGACTCAGGATGATTCATCCAGGGGTCAAATGAGCCAAGAATGGATTTTACATTTTTTACTAATTGAAGAAAACCAAAAAAGAACATTTCATGACAGTGAGAAGTGACATAGAAGGGTGGGATGGGGTGTGGCTTGGTGGTAGAGTGCTTGCCTGGCATGCACGAGGTCCTGGGTGCCATCGTCAGCTGGGGGCAGGGAAAAGCACCAAATCCAATTGCAGTGTCCTGAGATAATGTGTGTGGGCCCGGCTGTCCTCCTGCAGTCCAGCAGGGCTGAGCAGCTGCCCGAGGACCCTGTGCCCTACCGAACGTGGACTCTTCACTATCTGGCCCATAACGGAAAATGCTGGCCCCTGGCTAAATGGCGGGTCAGCCACACAACCAGTGGCCCGTGGGCCTGGGTTCCAGCCTAGGAGGCACCACCCCAGGCTCACAGCCATGTCAGGCAGCCCTGGTTCAGCGGGTGGAGGGCGTGTGCATCATGCCCAGAGATGCCCCCTGGCTGGACCCCAGAGCCACTTCCTTGGGCTTGGCCTAGATTAGGCAATGGGGCCACCTGGGTGGAAGCGGCTTTGACACTTTCCTTCTTACTTCACCCCAACTAGGCTGGGCTGCTCAAGCTTGTCTGTGCGTTTTGCAGATCCTGGTGGGCTAAGCGCAGAGTGTTTGGGAGCCAGGAACAGAACCTGCCTCTGGGCACCAGGCAGGGGCACCAGCCTTGAGGAGACGTCGAGCTGTGCTGGGCAGTACTCCTGCAGAGTCCTCCTCTCTGGGCCCTCTTGGCCCTTCTCCACCAGGCAAGGTGGTGTCCCCCGCCATACTCCTCACTTGACTTCTCCCCCAAGTGTGCCTTCCTCGTGACTCTCAGATATATTCTGTCCTGACCCTTCCTCCCTTGGGAGTCTTCTGGAATATGTCTGTTATGTATGATCACAAATTCTTATAAAATGCAAATGTAAAGATACCTCATTCTGATTTCAGAACTTCAGTGATGCTCTGTGTCTTCCCCACTGTCCTGGCTTGGGGATGCTGCAATGGGACGCAGGAGCTCTGGCACCTACCTTGTAGCCCAAGGTGTCAATCAGGAAGAAATCCACAATATTTAGGATGAAAAAGTGGACAGATTCAAATAAATATGGATCGTGATTGTATTGTCCAGACAGAACCTAATCTATTCCTACCCAGTCCTGTTCAGTCTTTCCATATTTCTTTACATCACTCGGAACCTTAGGTGACACATAACGTTTCAGGAGCCCTGGCACCTTGCGGATGTGGACAGTTGGTGGCTGAGGCTGATGCTCAGGCCTGGCCTCCCTTCCCCTCTCTGCTCTGGGTTCCTCTCCCATCTGCATCTCTGCCTCTTGCTGCTCTTCACCAATCTTTCTCACCCCGGGACTTGCCCCTTCCTTTATCATGATTTCTTGGGAGAAGGGGCCTGGCTGCCCAGATCCCCTGACCCTTGATGGGGAGAAGTTTGAGCATCTGCATCCCACAGGGGATCCAAGCTGAGGAAAACGCCCAGGAGGCAGAGTTTCCGAAAAGCCCCAGGGCACTCCCCAGATGTGGGTGAAACAGTGCCCCGTGGGCATGTTCTTGGGTCCTCCTGAACCACCAGGAGTCCTGGTTTCCCCTTTCTGTTGCCCAACTTGTTTCAGTTCCTGCCCCTTCCCCCTGCCCCTGGGTATATTTTCTGCTGACTCTCGGGGCCTGAGTCACTCCCCTGGAAATAAGGACTCAAAGCTCCCAGAGCAAGGACCACGGCTGAGGGCTACACACAGGTGAGAGCCCCGTGCAGCTGGGCTGTGGAGCTGGGCGAGGGTGTTCTGAGCAGAGAGTGGGGAACAGAAGACCCCGGGGTAAGTCGTAGAGAAAGTCAGGACGAAGACGTGGGCACAGCAGACACGCACCCCTCTCAGGATGCTCTGCTGTGAAGGATGCCAGGGAATGGGCTGGAAACTAAAACCTGGGCTGAAGTCAGAGAGGGACTGTGTAAAGATGAGCAACCCTGCAGCCCCCTGGGTGCCGAGGAGCACTCAGGCGTGGAGAGAAAACATGGATGCTGCAGGAGGAAGGGGATCAGGGAGGGAAAGGGGCAGGGGGCTCTGGAGCCTGAGGACAGGGTGGGTCTTGGGCCGGGATCGCGAGTTCTGCTCACAGAGCTGAAGCCAGAGAACAGTGGCTCTGAGCAGCCAGGGCAGTGGCTCTGCTGGGACAGGAGGCAAGGGCTTCCGCTGTGAGTGGGAGTGGGAGAGGAGGCTCGGAGCTGTGAGGGGAAGAACTGAAGGTGCCATTATAGGTCATGTCATGTGAACGTGAGTGGAGGAGGAACCGGGGAGGCTTGGGGAGCAGGGATGTGTCCACGTCCTGTGTGGTCCTGGTCGTGACGAGGGAGAATCCAGCTCTGGCCCCTTGAGAACTGCAAACCAAGGTCACACCCTGCTGCAAGCCCCAGGGTCCTCCTCCATCCCCATGTCCACATGGAGCTTGGGGAGACCAGGTGAAGCTGTGGCACAGTGACAGGCAGCACCGGGGCTCGTGTTCACGGGGAACCAGTGTTTCTCCTGTGAACTGTGGCGGAGCCTGAGTCCCACGCTTTCTTCTCTGCCTTCCCCATCGTATCATTGCAGAACCTTCCTTATCCATTGCACAGAACTTCAAGGGTTGCCTTAGAGATGCTTGAGAACAAGCAGTCCTCCACCTGTCTCTGCAGTTGTCGGGAGGTGGGGGAGGCATCTCCAAGTTGTTTCTGAGATGAAAGAGCATTGGGGTTCCGTAGAAATGTGACCCCCAGGTGCAATTTCAAACAACCAGCAGGCACTTTATAAAGCAAGAACAAGAAAGTGGCCTTGAATTTAATATATAATTTTATTAAATAATCATATAACCGTATAGCCAAATTACTTAAATATATAGTCAATGTAAAAATTTATTATTTTGGTACCAGGGATTGAACCCAGAGGTGCTTCACCACTGAGGCACATTCCCAGCCCTTTTTGTATTTTTATTTAGAGACAGGCTCTCACTATGTTGCTGAGGCTGGCCTTGAACTTGAGATTCTCCCACCTCAGCCTCCTGAGCCTCTGGGATGACAGGTGTGTGCCACTGCTCCTGGCTATAAAAGTTATAAACGAGATACCGCACATTACCTTCTTCATCTTAAGTCTTCCAACTCTAATGGGTATTTTACTTTATGGCCCATCTCAAATAGGACTGGCTGCGTTGCAGTGCTTAAAGCCCATGTGAGGACCCCCTGCCATGTGAGAAGACCTGTGTGTAGAGGTGGCATAGCCCAGCGGGTCAGAAAGACCCTGGCTATTGGAAGACTCCAAGCAATGAGCTTAAATGCCCTAAATCTGCACAAGGCGTATCCTACTTGGGAGAGAGAGAGAAAGAGAGAGAGAACACACAAACCCGCCACCCTAGCCTTATGTGTGTGTATGCGTCTGTCATCTGTCACTGAGCCTATTGGTACTGACTCATCCACCCCTTGAGGAAGCCTGCTGCACAGATCAGAATAGACCAAGGCCTGGTGCCTGAGCCTGGCTTGTACTCTACCATCGAATCTCGTGAGATGGCTGCATTTGGACCGTCCTTTCTATCTTGCTCTTCTGCATCCCTGAGAGTCAGAGCCCACCCAGTGGGCAGAGAAGAGCATCCCATCCACCTAACGGGATAGCCCCAGAGGCCTGGGGAGACAGGTCCCCTACCCAGGCTCCCGCTGACACAGAGGCCACCCGATGTAATCCTGGCCAACATGTTACGGGTTGTCACTCTGGTTTGTCCCCCTCATCCAAAGCTAATGAGTATTCATTATGATGTGCTGCCACAGCACAGAGGGGAGGCCTCCCTGGTGTCCTCCCTGGTGAGCAGCCCCTGGGCAGCAAAGCTGGTCTTGGCAGTCAGAGCTCCCAGTGCCTCTGCGAGGAGACGGGCTGCCTCCCACTTCTTCCTCAGTCCAGGCACCAGCTCTTCGTCTGTTTTTTGTTTTGTTGTGGTTGTTTTTAAGTTGTGCCAAAGTACACAACATAAAATTCACATTTTAAGTGAACATTTCAGTGGTAGTAGGTGCATGTAAAATGTTATGCAACAGTGGCACCATCTAGTTCTACCACTTTTTCCTCACTCCAGATTATACTCTGCATCCAATAACTCTTCATTTCCCCTCCCCCACCTTCTGGCACCCACTAATCTCCCTTTTGTGTGTGTGTGTGTGTGTGTGTGTGTGCGCGCGGCGCGTTGACTTGAAACTGAACTTGAGCAGGGGCTGAGCTACATCCCTAGCCACGCCCCCCTCCCCACTACATTTTAAATTTTTATTCTGAGACACGACCTTGCTAAATCACTCAGCTTGGCCTCAAACTTGCGTGATACTCCTGCCTCAGCCTCCTAAGTAGCTGAGGTCACAGGTCACACCTGTAACCACCACTCCAGCCACTAATCTGCCTTCTGTCTCTGACTTTGCCTATTCTGGGTATTCACTGCAAGTGGAATCATACATAGGTTATCCTGGGGGTCTGGCTTCTTTTGTATAATATTTTCAAAGTTCATCTGTGTGGTAGTGTGTATCAACACTTTATTTCTTCTTATATTCCATTGTGGAAATGCAGTGTTTTGTTCCCCCGTTTACCTGTTAGTCGACCCCCAGGTTGTCCCCCTCTTCGGGCTCTTGTGAAGGGTCTGTTGTGGGTGTTTTGAGAGATTTGCATGTGAGCTGCCAGGGGAACATAGGACGCCCTCTTGCCCAGCAGGTCTGTGAAGAGGTTGCCCATTTTCAGAAGCGGGTAGATCCAAGGGACAGTGGTGACTTTGTTCTAGCTCTTATGGAAACCCTAGAGGACAGCGAGGGGGTGAGTGGACGGTAGTGGGTGCAGAGATAAGGGACTGGAGAACCTGTGTGGGGTCCATAACTAAAGCCTGTTCACTGCTGAACTCCTTCAGGTGTGGACAGGATGCAGGCCAACTCCTCTCTTCCCGCGAATGCATCTGCAGGGATGCAGGGCGCATCCGAGGGCTACGTCGTCCTGAATGTCATCTCTTATCTGGTACTCGGGGTCACCTTTGTCCTCGGCATGCTCGGCAACGGGCTGGTCATCTGGGTGGCCGGCTTCCGAATGACCCGCACGGTCACCACCATCAGCTACCTGAACCTGGCCCTGGCCGACTTCTGTTTCACTTCCACTCTGCCCTTCCTCATAGTCTCCAAGGCCATGGGGGGACACTGGCCCTTTGGCTGGTTCCTCTGCAAGCTAATTTTTACTATCGTGGACATAAACCTGTTTGGGAGCGTCTTCCTGATCGCCCTCATCGCTCTGGACCGCTGCATCTGTGTCCTGCACCCGGTCTGGGCCCAGAACCACCGCACCGTGAGTCTGGCCAAGAGGGTGATCCTGGGGCCCTGGCTCTGTGCCCTGCTCCTCACCTTGCCAGTCATCATCCGCGTGACGACAGTGACGGATGTGCGTGGGACTGGGAAAACAGCCTGCACTTTTGACTTCTCTCCCTGGACCAAAGACCCTGCAGAGAAGATGAGAGTGGCCATCACCATGCTGACGGTCCGCGGGATCATCCGGTTCATCATCGGCTTCAGCATGCCCATGTCCATCGTTGGCATCTGCTACGGCCTCATCGCCAAGAAAATGCACAGACAAGGCCTGATCAGATCCAGCCGTCCTTTACGGGTCCTGTCTTTTGTCGTAGCTGCTTTTCTTCTCTGCTGGTGCCCGTATCAGGTTGTGGCCCTCATAGCCACCATCAGAATCCGTGACCTCTTGAGAGGTCTGGGCAGTGATCTGAGATTAGCCATCGACGTGACCAGCTCGCTGGCCTTCCTCAACAGCTGCCTCAACCCGATGCTCTACGTCTTCATGGGCCAGGACTTCCGGGACAGGCTGATCCACTCCCTGCCGGCCAGTCTGGAGAGGGCCCTGACCGAGGACTCGGCCCAGCCCAGTGACACAGCCACCAACTCTTCCTCGCTCCCTGCAGAGGTTGAGTTACAGGCAAAGTGAGGGGGGTGGTTTGGGGTCACCTGGGAGCTCCAGTCCCAGCTTCCTCTCTCCTCAAGTGACACTGTCCCCCAGCTGTGGGCTGCCCATCTCATGCCCCTTGATTTGGGGAGAGGGAAAAGATGTGAGGTTACTGCTGATGTCTTTTTTTTTGTTTTTTCTTTTTTGCCTGCTTGGTCAGAGGTGAGAAGAGAAATCATGCATCCTCATTAACCCAAAAGGGTCCCAGTTGATACCTATTACCCTAACACCATTAATAATGTCCACTTCATTTCTCAAAAGTGTCCTGCTGTGGACAATCAACTGTAGGGTCACCTTAGGAAATGAAGGAGGAGGGAGAGGTAGGGCTTAAATCAGACAAAAAATTTACAAGGTGTTTTGTAAGAGGCCTCAGGCCAAAAAGTAAATGCACCGTGGAGCTGTGGAGATGTCAGCTGAAGCCCTTGAAGTCCGGGTAAGGTTGCCTAATTCCTCCTGTGGTAAAGGCTGGGGAAACCCATCGTCCTCCCCACAGGGCGGGCCTCGGGGCGCCAACTCTGGCTTCAGTGAAGGACGAGTCCAGTTCACAGAGTATCCGGTGCCTGTTACCCTTGCTCTGAGCTTGGCTCACCCAGAGTGGAACCCAGGAAGTTCCCTAAATTCCTTTAAAAGCTGCTCGCATGAGATCCTCCAATGGGGAACACGCTTCCGAGAAGTTTGGTGATGTGGGATCTGGGCCGGTCAGCCCCAGAGCAAGGTGAGAGTGTCCAGCTGAACGTCAGACACCCTCGGAGCCCATCCTCCCTCCCAGCTCCTCCTTCAAGGTTTCTGCTTTTCTTTTCCTTTTTTTTTTTTTCTTCCCAATTCAGAGCTCTCTACTCCTCACACCCTGGTCTCTGCCTTCCTGTCCCCCCCCCATCGTCCCAACCCAAGCCAATTATCAGTGACAGCATCCTTTCTGAGAGGATGAGGGAGTCGCTTAAACACCACGCACTGAGCATCACATTATTCCATGTTTAAAAAGAGAGAGAGAGAGAGAGAGAGAGAGAGAGAGAACACAAAAGGAAGAAAATGGGAGAAGAAAGCGGGATGCGGGAGAAGCCCAAGGCTGGGCAGCGATGGCTGCTCTCAGGACTCAGCCCCTTCCCTGGACTCCCAGAAGATCTTTCCTGAGCAAACCCAGGCGCCTTCCAAGCCTTCATTTCAGCATCCGGAGCCTTGATACAATCTACCCTTCTGACCCTCAGCCTCTGCAGGGCATTGTCTGACTCCTTTAATAAATGGTTGTTGCATCAAACCTTTTGCTCCTGCACCTCTTTTACAGTTATCCAGGGAACTCGCGCAGCCGGTATCTCTTTAGATCTCCAACCCCCTGAAGTCAGCTGACTTCTTCCTGTCTTGACATACGGGGAAATTGAGGCCAGGACAGGATGTGGTACCAGGTTGGAGGACCCACCCAGTCCTTGCACAAGAAAGCCCTCATTTCTGACACAAATAGAAAGTTCAGAGGTTCCCCCAAACACCCTCAGTTTCTCTAATTTGGTAGAAAGTGTCACAGAGAGGAGGGAGGAATCCATCTGAGCAAAGAAGATGTGAGAGTTGACAACAAGGAGTCTCGGATTGCCGGGGCAGAGAGAGGTCACCTGACAATATCCAGCTCCTCCTCCGACTGAGATGTGCTCTTTGCAGGTGTCTTCCCTTAAATCCCCTTGTGTTCTTCCAGTGCAGATTGTGAGCTTAATCCAGCTAGAGGGGGATTTGCAAATTGCAAAGAATGATTCCTTCCTAAATTCTCTAAGATACTTGCCAGGATGTATTCAACCGGTCGGTGCCTGTGGCTGAGGCTGACCAAGCTGAGGGAAATGGGCATAACTTGGTGAGTAGGTATTGCCCTCTGCCCGACCTGCTGGGGAATCACCTGGTCCCGCATGGACCAGAAATAAAAGGCAGGAGAGAATGGCCCAGGATGTGGCATAAAGAACAAGAACAGCCGGGTGTGGTAGTAATCCCAGCAGCTTGGGAGGCTGAGGCGGGTGGATCACAAGTTCACAGCCAGCCTCAGCAGCTTAGCAAGGCCCTAAGCAACTCAGTGAGACTCTGTCTCTAAATAAGATATCAAAAAGGCCTGGGGATGTGGCTCAGTGGTTAAGCACCTCTGGATTTAATCCCAGGTACAAAAAAAAAAAAGACCAAGGACAGTTGATAGCCCCTGTCCACTCCCAAATCCTGAGGATATCCAGCTCACCCCTGAATGCTGCATCCATGAAAAACAAACCCCTCCAATAGAAGTTAGACACTAAGAATACAGACCTCTTGTCACACTGTCTGGACTGGAATCTTGACTTCACTTAGAAGCTCTATGATTTGGGGACGGTCTATTATTTTTTTCTGCATCAATAATTCAGTAATAGTCCCCTCTATAAAGAGACAACACATTAAAATTATTTAACTGAAGAGAGTTTAATGAAGGTACATGTAGGGTTAAGAGAACCAAAGAAAGGGTGATATATGTACCAGTGGGTAGCAATGTGCTGTCTTCATTTCCGGGGCTGTTGTAACATGTACCACAAATTTGGTGGGTTGACAAAACAAAAATTTTGTTATCCAAATGTTCTGGAAGTCAGAAGTCTGAAATGGGTTTTGCGGGGCTAAAATCAAGTATCAAGAGTGCTGTTTCTAACAGAACTTCTAGCAAAGAGATCCTTCCCTTCCCCTTTCCAGGGGCTGGCCATCTTTCCACGACCTAAAGCCACTTTCTCCATCTTCAAATCCAGCAGTGTGGCACCTCCAATCCTGTCTCACGCTCCCACCCCGCTGCCGCCCTCCTTCACCTAGGACACTGGTCCCGGGGATGATCCAGGATTCCCTCCCGTCCCCTGACTGCTGGGCTCTCCTATGAAAGGTGTGCTTCGGTGGTTGTCTCTAGGAACTAGCTAGAGATTAATCTCCCCCTGCATCTAAAATCCTCTCAACTGTCAAAATGTCATAAAATGCTGAAAATATAAAACACGATCAATGCTCTCTCAGCTCCCCCACCCCGGGCTGGGTCACGGGGGTCATGAACCGTGTGATTCCTCCCCCCACCCATCGTTCTCTGGCCCACCCCCTAGTCCTCAGGCCCCATATGCTGTGGTGATACCCTGAGTACACCTCACACGCCTCCCCCTCCTCTCCATCCTCACAACCATCGCCCTGGCACACGTCTTCAGTGGCCAGACTCGCCCGGGCCTGCGTCCCTGGCCCAGCCCCAGGTGTGTGCCGCACACCACAGAAGACACTCGGGTTCATCTTCTGGATTAGCCAGGGTTCTGCAGAGAGAAGGAACCGATCGGGTGCTCACACCCAGTACGTAGAATGAGAGGTATCAAGAGAAATGGGCTCACGTGGTTATGGGGGCTGACAAGTTCCGAGACCCTCAGTTGGCAAACTGGAAACCAGGGTGTTTAGTTACAGCCCAAGTCCCCGGGCCTGAGAAGAGGGAGCATTGACACAGAAGGTCCTGTGTAAAGGCCAGCAGGCAGGAGAGCCAGGAAGACCTGAGGTTTCCGACTGAGAAGAAGTCAGGGCTCAGTCTGGAGGAGGTCAGCCTTTCCCACTCAGCCTCGGGTCCACTGAACGAGCCTCATCCACATCAGAGTGACAGGCTGCTCGACTCAGCCACAACACAAAGGTACACCTAATTTTAAAAAGCTTCACAGAAACACCCAGAGTAATGTGTAACCAAACACCTTGTCACCTGTGTCCCAGTCAAGCTGACACATAAAAGAAACCAGGGCATCTCCGGAAGCCGTCCCCCACCACCTTCCAGGCCGCAGTGCCCATGTCCGTGGCTGTTGGGAAATCAGGAGGAAGCCCAGCTCCTCTTACTCAAAAGGTCCACTTCCCCTGTTTGTTCCCCAGCTCAGCTCGGAAACCCCTGAAGCTTGGGACACACTCCAGGAATGACGACAATTCAGAGAAACCCCAGGGCAGAACCCGTAGCCTGGGTCAGAAAATAGTTCTCCAAAAGAGGGGAACGTGGAGCCTCGGGTGCTGAGGAATCCCAGGCACCAGGGGCCCGGGGCCTTCATCCCTTCGCCGTCTCATCTCGCTTGTCCAATGAGTGTGTCACCGTCCTCCAGAGAGGTCGTCTGCACACTGCACAGAGACAGCGCTTATTGCTCTACAGGAATGTGGAGCAGCCCAACCGTGGTCGGGTCTCAGGGATGCCACGTTGAGTGACGGAAGCCAGGCACAAACGAAGCCCCATTGGGTGGTTCCTTCGACCCCAGGCCGGAGCCCAGGGCAGCTATGCACAAGGGTTAGAGGTGGGGCGCTGCCTCCCTGGGCTGGGACCAAGGGGGCCCAGGAGGACGTTGTGCTGCCCGATCCAGGCTCCGGTTTCAGGGCCATGTGAGCAACACAAACACATTTTGAGGGTGTGTTTATGACATGTACCAGGTTCTGGGTGTATGTTAACGTTTTGACAAGATCTTTACTGAGAAAGGCAGAAAAGGGGGGAAGGAATGGAGGGAGAAAAGAAGAGAGGAGGGAGAGAGAGAGAGAGAGAGCACTTTTCGACATAAAGGAGACAAAGGGTGAGTTTCAGGCTTTTCTGCTGCTGAGCAGGTGAGGAGGGTGGGCAGGCACAGGACTCCTGCAGATGGTGGAAATCGTCTCTGATCTCCCCGCCCCACCCTCATGCACACACCTGGACACAGAGAGGGGAGGCAGGGGGACACCAGCCCGGGGCATAGAAACGTCTGGGTTCTGAGTCACCCGAAGCATCTGGTCAGTGCCTAAGGGAGAGATGGCACCCTTAACAAAGTCCCTTTATGGTCAACATTAATCCTAAGGGCCAGGGACAGCCGAAGCTCCAGGTCTTCAGATAGCCAAGGGCCTGGATTTCTGGGCATCTGACCCGTGGAAACCCTGTGTTTCTCTCCCTTACGCCCCACCGACAAAATGAGATGGGTCATGACAACTCACAAAGGGATAACTGTTAAAATTCCAGAAATTTTAGGAACCACTTTTACAAGTTAAATAATACACCCTTCCAGTGAAAAACACAGAGTATTAAAAACAAAGCCAATGGATTCTTAAAACCCATCACTTCCTGATTAGGTTGCTATATTTTGATAAACCATGTCCCTACATATGCTGCCATCATTGTCAGCTTTGATCTGACTCTCGAACTTCAACAGAAAAACCAACCAACATTCACGTGGGAACAACACTCCTCATCAAGGACGTGAGCTACCTCTTGACTGAATTGGATCACTCTGAGCATTTATTTGTAGTCTCATTTTTCTGGTGACAGAATTAGAAAAACTGGAACTCGATTTTGCAAAAACTACTCCCTCCCCCCCCCCTTCCTTCTTCTTCTTTACAAGAAATGTCACCTTGAAGTCATAATTGTATGGAATTTACAATAAAGAGAATGACATAATATTATTCAGAAATGATATGCAACATTCTTTAAAATTAGTGAAATTTATTGTGCATCTCTCTATAGAAGTAGATTTCCCCCGGAGAGGCAGATGCTGTTGATTTATCAGCACAACGCCGCGCGGACCTGTGCACACCTGTCTTGGAATCTGTAAGAAACCTGTTAAAATCCCAGCTGCAGCAGTAATTGTGTGACCTCACACTCGTCCCTTCCCTCTCTGGGCCTTCTTTACTGTGGCCATCAGAGAGGTGAAGTGGGCAGACGTTGGTGTGAATCATGGCCACCGAATCACGGCCACCACCAACATCTTGGCTATTCCCACCTGATGGAGACTGCTCTGCTCACCTCTGCTGCCTCTGTCCTCTGAGATCCAGGCCACAGACACAGCACCTCCTGTCTGACCAGCCTTTCCTCCTGATCGCACCCATCTTTAGCAATCAATAGACTGGAGAACCCTTGAGCAGACTTGGTTCTGGACCTGTGTGGGAGACCAACCTCGCATATAACTGAGTTAACTCCCCTGCTGGGCCATGTGACATCAGGCACCCATGCTGCTAGACTGCCCCACCTTTCTAGGGTTCGAGTGACTGTGTCTTCCTACAGCCCCAAGAGTGGAGCTGGCTCACCTGTTCCTTTGTAATGTAACCCCTTGCCCTGTTTAGGGTAGAATCTTCCATGGAAGTGCCTTGTGTGTGTCCCCTTCTCTTACTGTGCCCTTGGGTGTGGCCTACCCAGGTGTCAGTCAACCTGCTGACAGTGGACATCATGAAGATAGACTCAGCCCCCTGAAACCTGACCCCTTGCCTCATTTGAACAGCTTCTCCTCAATAAAAGGGGTCAGCGCGTGCTCTCTCTCTCTCTCTCTCTCT